TGGCATTTTCCTATCCGTATAGCGATGTTTTCTCATAGCGATGGTTAATCCGGAACGGATTAACGTCGCTATGCGGGGCACCACTGTATACATATACATATATATACACTTACCTTTAAGAACTTCAATATGTACCTTTTTAAAGCTATAAGCACGTCTATTACCTTTATTTTCTAATTCAAATATGATTCGATGTACTTACAACTTATTTTTATAGCTTCTTATTGGCAATTTTTCATAGTTGTAAAACTGATGCCACCATAACTAACCAGTGGGATCCTGGCCAGTTACATTTGTACCTTCTGAGTGCCCTGGAAACACGATGGAGTAAAAATAATTGTGATAAATGTCTCCACATGTGAAGAAAAAAAGATCTGTTTGAATCTCCCCAAGATTGTGCAAATTGAGTTTAAACACAGAACCACCTTCCCTCCTGGGAGAGGAGTATCCTTGCCTACTTTGCTTCTCCCTTTGTAGATGTGAAGAGGTGCAGGAAGAAGAGCCAAGTCTGGTCTCCACCGAGCTAGAAAAGAATTTCTGCAATTTTCCAAGGCAGTACTTTGTCTTACGCAAAATCATCAAGCGGTTAACAGGTGAGTTAACAGGCTGGCTAAACCTAGATTTTTAATGTGGGAGAAGGAGGAAGGATGCTGCTCATGAGCCCGGGAGATCATCACAGAGCAAAAAAAAAAAATGCACCAAGGAAGAATTCCATATTCAAGCAAAACCCTAATAATTTAATTTCATTTTGCCTGAAATATATATTCATAGAATTGCCGTAGGGTTAGGAGGGACCTTGGAGGTCTTCTAGTCCAACCCCCTGCCCAAGGCAGGGGGCGTCATACCATCCTGGATCTCATACCATGTCCAAAATGTTCTTGAAAATCTCCAGTGATGGGGCACCCACAACATTGGGAGGCAAGCTGTTCCACCCTCAGGAAATTCCTCCTTATTTCAAGGTTGGATCTCCCTCTGATGAATTTCCACCCATTGTTTCTTATCCTACCCTCAGGCACAATGGAGAATAAATCCATGCCCTCTTCTCTGTTGCAACCCTTCAGATCTTGGAAGACTGGTATCAGACTCAGTCTTCTCTTCGTTAGTCATTCTTCATAGGATTTAGCCTCCAGTCCCCTTATCATCATATAAACGTCTGTTGTAATTTTGAAGCATATAGTTGCCAGGATTCAAACATTGGGACCTGGAGAGGTAGAGTGGTAGAGTTTATAAAGAAACAGGGCAATACTTTAGGAATCATTCCGACTTTTTGATTTACCAACTTATTTGCCTGATGACAGTTTTATTTACCAAATGATAATTTGGTCCTTGAAATCATTTGCTAGCTCCGAGACCTATAAGCCAAGCCCCAGATCCAGTGGCATTCCTAAATAATGCAGTCAGCAGTATGACCACTGAGAGTGCAATAGTGTGAGGTGGAACGAACAGTTTTCTTTCTAGAGAGGCATCACTGGCAACCTTAGAGGCAGACGTCATGCAGTACAAAAGCAGACTTTCCTCAAAAAGAAACACAAGTGTGAAGATGCTATACTAAATCATATCCCAAGATGAAAATTCGACCCCTTGTGTTCCATTTCCATTTGTGTTCTAGGGCAAAAAAAATGATTAGAAAATCTGCCAATAACAAGAATATTTTCACCCAAATCAGAAATGTCAATTATTATTAGCTTTGTAACCTGTATGGGCCTATTAGGTTCAGGCTATGAAATGACAAGCAGGAAATATGTCCTGGTCCACAACTGTAGAATTGTGTGAATAAGGATCAGTTCTCCAAAAAATCATTATACATCTAGGTACCAAATCCCTCAACTCCAGGCATATTTGTTAAATTTCAGCTACTGTATTTTATTTTCCTGGCAAATTTTGTGTTCCACTCCCTTAACATGTATAGTTTTGAAAATCATTTGTGCTGGTCTTAAGACCTGCTTTGCTGGATTATTTAGTGCAGTTTCATTAAGAGGTCAGCCCTGTGATCTTGAAATTTCACCATCATAGCTTGAAAGCTGCAGGCTCTCCTATTCAAGTTTAAACTTCAGCACCTGTTATTCGGAGATATACTGTCCTTATATGTGGAAGTTCCACTTAGCTCATCAGTGTGGAATCTCAGGCCCTGAGGCCAAATCTTGGCATTCTTTAGCTTCTCCAGATGGCCAAACCTTTCCCCCCTTGATGCCATCAGTTGATGGTTTCTTGGCTTCTCAAAAGATTTTTCCCCCATTTGAAATACCTCTCCTACAGCCTTATTCTTGGCATCAAAACCTTTAACCTAAAATATGCTGGTCTTTCTTGAGTCTTGCCTTTGGACCTGTCCTCCAGAGTGTGGCACCGAAGCACACCTCTGAAACAGCATTTGGCCCTTGGATGAAAAGAAGTAACCCATGCTGATCTTGAATGTAATGATGCCTAGTCACAAGCCATATCCTAGGACAGTGGTTCCCAGCTTTGGGTCTCCAGATGTTCTTGGACTACAATTCCAAGAAATCCTGAACAGCACAGCTAGTGGTGAAGGCTTACAGGAGTTTTATTCCGAGAACATCTGTGGAACCAAGGTTGGGAACTACTTACATAGGATGCAGTGCTAGAAGCATCCCAACAGACTTCTCTCTCTCTCTTTCCCTGCAGGTGATTTGACCCTTGACCCTGAGACAGCCCACCCCAACCTCGTGCTGTCTGAGGACCGCAAGAGTGTTAAATTTGTCAAGCAGCGCCTGAGAGACCTGACCGACAGTCCAAGGCGCTTCACCATCTACCCTTGTGTCTTGGCCACGGAAGGCTTCACCTCTGGACGCCACTACTGGGAGGTGGAAGTGGGTGAAAAGACTCACTGGGCCCTGGGCGTTTGCAATGACTCCGTAAGTCGTAAAGGAGAGACAACCTCCTTGCCCGAGACTGGCTACTGGCGGGTGAGGCTCTTCAATGGGGACAAGTATGCAGCCACCACCACTCCTTTCACCCCGCTCAATATCTCCACCAAGCCCAAGCGGGTAGGGGTCTTCTTGGACTATGAGGCTGGCAGACTTTCCTTCTACAATGTGACGGACCGCTCCCATATGTACACCTTTGCTGACACTTTTACTGAAAAACTATGGCCTTTTTTCTACCCAGGGATCCGTGCCGGGCGAAAGAACGCTGCCCCCCTCATCATTCGGCCTCCCACGGACTGGGAGTGATGAAAGGGCCAAGTTCCTCGGCTAGGATTAGCCGTCAGATCTGCAGACGTAGCTCTTCTAACTTGGCTTCCTAACGCATCAGGGATTGGAGGCAGGGGACAAGTCGTCTGGGGTCCCAGCACCATCATCCCCAACAGGGGGGGAAAAAGAAAGTCATCAGGAGGAAAAACACAGAGAGGCTTTCAAACACCAAACAGTGGTTAATTTGGGGGCTTCACAGTCACTCAGAGGAACGTGATGCATGGAGAGGAAATGGAAGATTTTTACGACAACAGCGAAAGGAGCCCCAGAGCGGCCAGGGCTGGTGAAGATCCTCTTGTCCTTTTGTCATCCCAAACCTCTGATTGAGGGTGGAGGGGTTGAAGTCAAACTGGGATGCTTAAACCTAGTCTGGTTGTTTGGCAAAAGCCATAGCCTGTGCATTGGCTGTGGGCAGAGCTGGTCCGAAAGAGGCTTGAATGGAAAATCTGGTGGTTTCACAGATTGTGGATGAGGGCAGGGGTGTGCCTTGTGGGCAGCAGAGAGGAGTGGCTTCTGCGTAAAAGGGCTTATGGCAGCTCCTTCCTGGAAATAAGCTCTTTCACCTTCCCTGCAGCTTCTCTTGCTTTAGCAGCCAGGATGTGCACCGGCAGCAAACGCCTGCTGCCTTCTCGTTAAGAGCTTGTGGTGCAACGGGCCTGAGCCAGTCAACGGTCCCAGGCCCAGATGGGCTCCTCTGAGGCACCCAGTGCTGACAGAGTTTGGAAACCATTTTTCTCTTGGAAACTGCAGTTCTGAAAATTCCACACACACACCCAATATGTTGGCTGTGAAATTTGGGAATTGTATTTCAAAAAATATTGATCGTTTGTGGAGGGGTAGAGGGGTTGTGGTCAGGCACAAAAATGAGAAGTGCAGAAACGAAGCCTGTAGCTCAGCCCTGTATCGGAGGCCTGGCTGATAGTAGCGTTTAGATCCCAAAAACGTTTGCCAGGTGGTCAGCCCCAGCCAGGGATCCTGGAATCCATGACTCCAGGGGCTGAAGTTCAACAACATTATGTTCTGAACTATAACAACTCCCATCATTCTTTGGTCAGGCTGGTGTCGAAACATAAGAATTGTAATTACCAAAAAGAGATTTTTCCAAGCTCGAGGCCAGGGCCCTGTTGGATTTTGCCTGTGCCAGCGTTCTGCCCGTGACGGTCGAATCGGCAGGCCCCAAACTGCTACCGCAAATTCTTTCAAAGGGGAAGTTGAGCTGTAGAAGGCCTGTTCGTGGCTTGTAATGTTGACTGACGGACCCAAAGCCTCATTACATTTGCTGAAGTCAGGGAGCTGCCAGGAGCACCCAAAAAGGGAGCGGGTGGCCTGGGCTGAGAAATCACCTGTGGTGGCCACAAACAAGAATTGAATGTCTTCCAGTAGCTTGCATTCGGCCGGGAAATGTACCTCTCCTAATCTCTGTAGTCAGAAATTCCCCTTTATAGCATGTTGATAAATAAGGCTGAATCAAGGCGTGAATAGAAGGGTACTTTTCTATTACTACCCTACCTCTTCACCCAATGCACACATTCACGCTCTTTTCATCGTTGTTTGGGAATGGCAAGAAGGGCAGACATGCCTTCCATTTCATTGGCTACATGACGTCTGTTGGCTGCATGAATCCTACGTGGCTGGTATTGCCTTATGAAGAAGTTTAGGGTTTTGCTTATGGGGAGAGGCTGCAGGCGATACAAATGAGGGAAAGAAGCTGCTGGAGATCGATGGCAGCAGACAAAGGAAGGTAGCTGGAGTGGCCGGACGTACCTATGTTTGCGTTCTACCCCTTTCTCCCTCCCACATCCCTTGGCCTTGAAAAGTCTCATCTTTGAAAATATAGTGCATTCTTTTTGGTATCAGATGTTGTCTAACCTGGTTTCATGATCAGTTGCAGGGACTTTCTAATTAGAGAAGAGCTCAGGCTGAACAAGAGAACTGAAAGACACAGGAGAGAAAAAAGGCAGGTGGTTGACCCATGCTGAATTGATTGCAGTTGAACACCCCCCCCATCAGTTTTCAAGGAGGCTTGAGTTAGCCTTTCATGAGACCATGTGGGTTCCTGTGTAGTTGTTGTAGGAAGCGAATTCACATTCCAGTTGCTTTGTCAGTCCTGACTCATCTTAATTAAAGCAGCCGTGTTCCCTTTTTATTCTATTTGTTTTTTAAAATCCTCTTCAGGTATTTTAGTGAATGGAGGCAGCTCAAGAGGCCTGCTTTAGCCTTGCCCCCCGCCACATCTGACCTCCGATTGTCATTTGGGAAAATTTGAAAAGCCGGTGGACCCTACGTTCAGCTGCATACAGCCGGAGCTGCATTCATCCAGTCTGAAGCCCTGCCTTACCAGGGTTTCCTCTCATGTAAAAGGCTGTCATTGCCTTCAGCCCAGCTTAGCTATGGTTTTCTTTCCGATCTTTGGCGGTATAAGGAGATTAGGATGGGAGGAGGCAGAGCTTCCCTGCTCATTTGCTGCAATGAATGCCTGAAGAGAGCTTGAGTTTTATTAGGAAACTAACAACCCCTGCTCTTGGATTGCACTTTTATTCAGGGAGTTGGATTTGAAACAGAATCTACATTGTAGGTCTCATTTCAGGAAGATCTTGAGATTTTTGCAGCCTATGTGGGTTAGGTCCAGATGCACAAAAGGCAGTTCCTTCAAATGTGGGGGGAAAATGTGTGAGCTGAGGGAAATGAAAGTCGGCTCTTTATTAAACCACGTGGACTGAACTAGGGAGGAGAGAAAAGGGATGCCCTTAGTTGTTCCCAATAATAAAGCAGAATTAGGAACTGAAAGAAACATATGAGTGAAAGAGGGGAGAGATTAGAACACACTTGAAGGTGAAATATGTGCGATCGGTGAGAATTCCAGTGCCCTTTTGAGGACAGAAATTGGTGAAAGGCAGGCTTTTCCCCTTCATGGTGCCCTCCAGACATGGTGATTACAGCCCCCATCCTCCTTCGCCATCACAGCCAGCAGCCGAATGGAGGATGCCAGGTTGAAGTGGGCAGGTTGTAGTGGATCTCAAGTGAACTTCATGGGTCAGCAGGAGAATTGGGCCAGGTAGATTCCCGGTTGCCTCTGCCTGCTAATGGGGATGACTGTGGCCTAAACAAAGTGACACGGAAAAAGAGAGAGATAGGAGGACGTTCTGGCCCAAGTCTCTGAATCCCTTCAGCCTGGGTGGACAGGCAGATATTCAGCAACCCACAGCTTAGTGCAAAATACTTGTGTTGTGGCTTGTAAGATTATAAATAAAAATGCTGTCTAATTCAAACACATGTGAATGTGGAAGTGTAATTTCTTCACTGTATATACCTGGGCTCAAGAACAGTGGTGCACTCTGCTTAGAAATGCTTGCCCAAGGCTAGCTACATAGGCTGGCTCATCTGAGAGGCCCAGGGAGGGACTGAACTCCCAACCTCTAGCTCCACAGCCAAATAGCTAACACAATCAACTGTCCACCCAGCTGGATTTGGAAGAAAAAAAACACTTTAAATATCTCATCTTGAAAACACCATTAGGGTCACTGTAGGTCGGTTCTGATTTGAAGGCACAGAACAACAACAGTGCTGAAAACTCCAGGATGGTGAAGTCCTAAGCAGAAATCAGAGGCGTTCCCGATCCAGAGGATGTGGTAGTTTGATTTACCACTGTGCCTCCTTGACAGAGACTGGACTCGATGATCCATTCCATAGGGTCCCTCTCAGTTTCTAGATAATTACTGAACATCTGGATTTTGATGCTGTTTCTGTGTGAAACTATTCGGCTGCTACACTCCAAACACCAGCACTGGATCTCCAGTAGGTGGCAGCATTCAACGGACAATGACCATTTCCCCTCCTCCAAAGATATGGGTAAATACATGTTTAAGAATACTGTCCCTGTCAGAACATGGTCAAAGACATTGTTTTTTAAAGCCTGAAATGACAGAGAAGGAAACTATTATTTTAATTTTTATTGAAGACGACTCTGGACAGAGAGTGGAACAGGAAATTTAAAATTCAGCACTTAAGTTCTATAGTAGAAATAAATTGTCATGCAAAGCTCTGCTCATTCACCATTTCTCCATACTTTACTATTTTATGAATCTTCATTTAATCTGCAATTAAGCATTGCCATTCACTCTGGGGAGGGACCATGCTATGCTGGATAATATACTGAACAAAATACTGTATCTTATAAAAATTACTTCAAACAATTACTTCTTGCTAATTTTGCAATTGAATACTGAAGACTGTGTAAGCCACAACACGATTGCCTGCACTGATTTCTTCATTTTTGTTAGCAAAGCTTTCCCTTTTTGAAATATCTCGACCACCACGCGTTTCCTGTTGCTTTCACCACATATTGAATCGGCCCATGTGGGTCTTCTCTGTATACATTAATCTCAGTTTGCCCTTCACCAGAGATGAACGTGAGGCTCTTCCCTCCGCAGGACACCACCATTTTGGCATTGTCCTGCACTATTAATGGTTCGCAGGGCAATTGCTTTAAGGCCTCCCTGAGGCAACTCTGTAGCTCTTCTGAGCCATTGTAGGAGATCACATCTTGTAAAACACAAAAGATATTGCCAAGACTGAGGGGAAAGGGATGACGTCCAAGCCTTGCTAGATGGACATCTGGATGGGCTTCATGAACCAATGTATAAGACACCTTCTCATTGATCCAGACCACTTCAATGAGGTTTCCCCCTTTTCCAGACAGGAACTCCCGCTTTGTTCCGTTACACTGCAGGATCATCCTGGTGTTCTTCTTCACAATGCTTGGCTCCTCAGAGAACTCCTGAGCAGCTTTCTCCAAGCAGTTCCTCATGGCTCCTCCCTGTGGTTCTTCCATTTCAGCTGCCAATAGAGTTGCAAGTGTGAGATTTTCTGGCACAACTGAGACGGCTGCTGTCATGTTCTTCCTGGCTTTGATCCCATCCTCTTTGGGTAGATCCTGGGGTCCAGTGAAAGGATTGTATAAGAAAAACAGCAGAATGCCCAAAATGATAAGAAGGGCAAATAAACAGAGAATCACAATTTTTCTTTTGCTCGAAGGCCTATCAGCCTCAGTCATAGAGGGCTTATGGGAGAAACAGGGCACATTATATCCTACGCTCTTCTCAAATGTGAGGCATAACGCTGGAGAGCTTTGTGACAGAAATCCCCTTGATTTCTCCTGGAATGATGCTTTTTTCACAGATATGGGTTTGGTCTGGTTTTCGTCATCCAGAATGAGTGTGAACTGCTTGCTCTTGTCGGTCATGCTGGCAAGAGCTGTCAATAGAAAATGGCTTAAAATTAGTGACCTCTGCACCATGTAGATCTTGACAAGTTACTTTTTAACAGTACTTAGTTATAGCAACATTTCAAAGACCCCATTATTTGTTGGTTACCATTAAAATTACTTTTAAAAAACCCAGGCCACTCTACTTTCTTGTCATTCAAAGCTAACTAAAATAGGATTATTTTTACTTCAAAAAGCTACCAAAATGCTACAAGCCATAAAAGAAAAGATAAATCAAACCCCACTAGAAAAGAGATAAATAATAATATTACCGCTCTAAACAGAACGATACGGAAAACTGACTTAAGAGACATATGGAGAGAGATGAAAAGAGATTTACCTCTAATCATCACCTCATAAAAACTACTCTAGGATTGATTATATGTTTGCATCTAAAGATTTGATTTCAAGAGTGGTTAATACAGAAATAGGAATTATAAAGGTATCTGATCATGCTTTAATGAATATGGATATTAAGATTAGAAAATATTATAAGGAAGCTAGACGCTGGAAGATGGATACAAACACTTTGCAACAAAAAGTTATTGTGGGTAAAATAACAAAAGAAATTACAGAAATATGGGCTATTAATGAACAAGAGAGTTGCAGTAAAGGTATTTTGTGGGCCTGTATGAAGTCTGTCATGAGAGGAATAAGTATTAAGGAATCATGCAAACTGAAAAAGCAACAAAACAAACACATGAAGGAGATACAGGAAGAAATAAAGGAAATTGAATTAAAATATATAAGGAATAGGGATAAAAATCTCTGCTACCAAGGAAAAAAATAACTAGAGAACACAGAGATGGAGAAGATTCAGAGAAACTTAATACACTGTATATATAAAGAGAGGGGTTTTTTTTGAGTTTAGCAATAAAAATTCAAGAATGCTGACAAGAGCCATACAAGTTAAGAAGTCAAGGGTTCTATAGGAGAAATTAAGGACAGAAGGGAAAAACATGCAATTTGATGAAAGAAACATTGTCAGTTTTCCAAGAATTTTATCAAACCTTATATACAGAGGGCAAACCCACAAAAGAAAGTGTGAGGAATTATGTTGAGAAACATTTAGGGACCAAACTCGAAGAGGGAGATAGATATTTAATGGAACAGCTTATAAGAAAGGAAGAAATAGAAAAAAGCAATTAACAAGTTAAAATGGGGCAAATACCAGGAGCTGATGGGTTAGGACCAGAGTATAATGAGACATGCAGAACGATGCTGTTACCCAAATTAGAAACTCTCTATGATAATATAATGAAGGGAGATGGGATTCCAGCATAATGGAAGCATTCATTAATTATATTAATAGCAAAAAAGAATAAAGACTTAACAGATCCGGAAGCATATAGACCTATCTCTCTGATTAATCAAGTTGCAAAGATATTTACTGTGATACTGGCAAACAGGATGAATAAATATATTGATAAATATATTAAAGAGGATCAATGTGGCTTTATAATAGGGAGACAAATGGCCAATTTGACAAGAAGACATAATAGGAAAGCAAAAGTTGAAAGCTGGTATAATTTCATTAGATATTTTTAAGGCCTTTGATTGCATGGAATGGCCCACATTGAATATGATAATAGAAATATTAGGATTCTGAGAAAAATTTAGAGGTGTGATAAGGCAATTATAGTCATCAAATTCTGTATCTATTATTGTAAATGATGGTCTAGCAGAACAAATATCCCTTGGGCGGGGTACTAGAAAGAGATATCCCCTTTCCCCAATTTTTTTTTTTGCAATAGTAATAAAAATGTTAATTAATGCTATTAAGAAAGATAATTTAATCTGTGGCATAAGGACCAATGATAATTCTTTGCAAATGATTCTCTTTTATCAGTAGAAAATCCTTTAAGAGTGACAGGTAGGGTAAAATTAGAAGAATTTGGAGAGATAACTGGGCTACAGGTAAATTGACAGAAATCAGAGATAATGTTTAATTATAATAAGGAAGAAAAAGATACTATAGGTAAATTGGCAGAAATCAGAGATAACGTTTAATTATAATAAAGAAGAAAAAGATCTATTCAGGAAAAAAAATTAATATTAAGGTTGGGAATTTAATTAAGTATTTAGGAGTACATATACCAAAGAATCTATTTAGATTAAGACAAGAAAATTTCAAGAGATTGAAATGTGAAATGAAGAATAAGTTGGAAGATTACAGGAAAAGTCAACTATCATGGTTTGGCAGAATTGCCACAGTTAAAATGAAGAACAAACTAATGCAAGCACCATTCGCCATATTTTAAAGTATACATTTTTTAAAAATTGCTTAATTACGGAATTGTATGGGTTCTTCGGAAACTCTGTTAAATATTTGATTTTCTTGTCATGAACAGACACACTAGGAAAAAAAAAGGATCCTGGAAAATCCCAAGGCAAACTTCCAAAGATTCAGACATTTTGAGTTCAATTCCAGGAAATCTTTTGATAAAATGGCATCCCTGCATTTGGAAAATGTCCCCACTGACAAAAAGGTGGTCACTTTGCAGTTGGCCAAGTCCTTGACCATTGTCCGGACAAACAAACTCTGTGGCATGTGATCTGGACTGTATTAATGTGTACTCACCAAAACAAATAAATAAAGGGAGGATTGAAAATTGCTCTAACCACAATCACACCACCCATTCTCACTGTAGATAAGAATGACTTCTTTCCTATCACCTTGCATCAGAAAGGCAGGAGAAATCTACTCATCAAACAGACTTCAGCTTACTGTCTATGTGGAAGCGGGAAAACTAATCATTAATCATTCCTATATTCCCCAGCTTCTTTTCTGGAGTGGGATGGCTTCGACATATCGCCCTAGTCCTGTTTGATCCAACTTGTTATGGAGTGTGTTCCTGCACTGAAGTCCTTGAGCACCTTAAGATTTGGGTACCTGAAGTAGAGTATTCCTCTGTATAGTGGTGTCCCGCATGATGACGATAATCAATTCTGTCAAAATCGCTGTACAGCGAAATCATCGTCATGCAAAAAAAACACCTTTGGAATGCATTGAAAACCGGTTAATGCGTTCCAGTGGGGAAAATACCTGCTCGTCCAGCGAAGATCCTCCATAGGGCGGCCATTTTGTGAGCACCGATCAGCTGTTTTTAATGCCTGTCTTCTGAAACAAGGTTCGGAAAACAGCGGGAAGCCATTTTAGAAACCAGACGATCAGCTGGGAAAATCATTGACCAGTGAAAAAACGGTTCCCGAAGCAGGGACCTAATCATCGTTAAGCGAAAAAACCCCATAGGAACCATCGTTTTGTGATCGCTATAGCGATCGCAAAAAAGTCATCGTCAAGCGATTTCATCATCATGCAGGGTCATCGTAATGGGAGGCACCACTGTATATTTCTTCCTCAATGCTCCAACTTTGTCTACTGGATTCTTGAACCAGTAAACCAGTAAATCCAGTGAACACCTGTACAAAGTACAGTGTTTTTTTTTAACTTTAAAGTCTTCCCCAGCACTCTGGCCCAAGACTCACAAAGGAGCCAGAGGGTGGCCTAGAGCTAAAAAGCCATTTTATCGGTTGAGTTAGTGAGAGGAAAACCCTTTTTTTCCAAGGGAATGGGATCAAGGACCAAGATTTTAGAGCAAAATCTTTTGGGGGGGAGGAAAAAGCCTCTTCTCCTGGGGTTCAGTGGCTTTTTGTTCCATAGACACCCCTAAAGTTTCCCACATTCTGATTGGTTTCTTTACTTTCTTCCTCAGTTGCTAACCTCAAGATGGTTCTTCATTGGTGAATAACATGGTGGAGCCAAAACCTGTGGAAACATTTCTCCATTGTTTTAAGGAAGTGGCATAACCCTGAGTAACTGAGGGGAGGAATAGGAAGCTTTTAATTAGTGTAAATTAATTGTGTCTGATGCCTGATCTGGGGTCTGCCAGTCACAAAATTATGTAACAGGATTTCCCCCATCATTTATGTCCCAAATCGTTCACTTTCCTTAAATCACAAGTTTGTAATAACCTGTTGATGTACTTGTCAACCAATCTCTATTTTTTCATTACTGGGGAGGCAGCTTAGGATTGATAAAGGGATGGCAAAGGGATCCTCTTTTGTTGTGGAGGATCCTCATGAGAGTTAATGGATGAAAGATGGAAAGTACAAAATACATACTATTGGGCTGTCACCCAATTTCCTATTAACTACTGGGTACAGCAAAGCAAGAAACCTACTAGAACAGCGTTTATATGCCATTGAACATCAAAATAATTTGTTTGTTACTACTAAATTGTGTCCCTGGTACTAATACTCTGTGATAAGTCATCCAAAAATAGTAGTAGGCATCCTTCAGTCTCGAAAGACTATGGTATCGTGCTCTGTATGGAGGACTTGGAACAGCGTCTAGTGTGGCTGAGGAGGCCAATTCGAGAGTGACAATCCCTTCCACACTGGAGACAAATCCAATCTGTCCCCTGTCCAGCTCCCTGGTTTTGCTTCCTTTGTGACTTCCTCTTTGCCTCAGCCTGCTGGACAAGGGTCTCTTCAAATTGGGAGAGGCCGTGATGTACTGCCTGCCTCCAGGCTGAACGATCAGATGTCAGAGTTTCCCATCTGTTGAGGTCTATTCCTAAGGCCTTCAGATCCCGCTTGCAGATATCCTTGTATCGCAGCTGTGGTCTCCCTCTGGGGCGATTTCCCTGCACAAATTCTCCATATAGGAGATCCTTTGGAACCCGACCATCAGCCATTCTCACAACGTGCCCAAGCCAGCGTAGACGTCGCTGTTTCAGTAATGTATGCATGCTGAAAATTCCAGCATGCATACATTATAATGAAGATGTCAGAAAATCAAAAATGTCTCTCTAGGTTATTTTACTAATACAGAAGGAACAATACTTCTGTTTTCACATGGACCAGAGAATTAATTGTTTCTGAACGTGTAGAGACAAGTTCCCATGTTTGACATTAATATGCTTTCATTTTAATTGTCTTAACTATAGAAACACATACACATATATAAGTTTAAATTTCATTGGCTATAATCCTGTTGTGCGTCTCCATATGATTATGTTATTGTCAGTGGTCCATTTAGTACTGCATGTATCCCTCAGCCCTATTAAAAACTGGCCATTCCCAGAGCTCTTTGAAGTACAAATTTGTGGAATTCCAAGTTTTGGGAGCTGTCTTCAAAAAAATAATAAAGGAACTTTTCCATGCTCTGCCAAATGCTTTCCTACACTATTTAAGATTATTATTATTCAGTCTTGTTTCCCACTGTTTGGCAGGCTGCGTCTTCCTCCCCCAAACCGCCACCATAAGGCATTATATTTGAACATACCCTTCATTCTAGCATTGTGTTTAGAGGCCACAGAGAACAAATTCTATTTGTATTTGCTCTCCCTGCTTCTGTTGTCATATCAGAGCTTATTGCACAATATATAATTATGGATACCTATAAAATATAAGTAAAATTAAAAACAGATGAAAACGTTAAGATAATTAGACTAGTTCTGACCATTAAATTAAATTGAATTAAATTAAATAAGAGCCAGGAAGTGATGCATTTTACTTCCCAAACGGTCATCAGGCATGCTGATGTCTTGGAGCAAAACCCTAGTCGCTTCTGCCTAGTGACAGCCCTTTCCAGAGGTAACGTGAACACCCTTGTAGGCATAGACATGCACACACTTGCAAAGGGAAAGCGGTTCTGGGTGAGAAACGAGAAAAGAAAA